TCGCGCGATAGAAATATAAAATGCCCTGCCCAGTTTTGAACTAATCAAAATAATAATTTATGTAGAAAAGTATATTTTTTAGTATAGGTATTCTACAGGTCTTTTTTTGTCAGTGAATTTTCGTCTTTGGAGGCCAGAGAAGTTTGAAACACACAAAGTGAAATTCAATAAATTTTCCTAGATTATTGGGTTGCAATCACTTGTTTATGCCAAGTTCTAAATAATTATATACAAATGAGAGATAAATTTGTTTGTTTCATTATAGTTTTGCTCTGTCGACGTATATTAAATATGTATCTCAATTAAAATAACAAAATGATATTTTGTATTTGTTTGTCTCTTATTGATACATTTTGTTTCTTAATTTTAAAAAAAGGTTGGCATATTAATAAAGCTTTATAGTTGATCATTTCATGCAAGATTAGATCTTTTATGAAATCTTTTTCGTTCTGGTGTTGGGGTGGGATGGAAGAAGTAGGGAGTCAAAAGTTGATGGTGATAGAGACAGCGAGATTGTAACCCTTTATTCTAAGTCATAAAAAGCTGGTATTTTATTGGAGAATGAATTTATTTTTATTTTATCCGATAAATAAATTTGTTTATGAAAAAATGGGTACTCTGTTCTTATAATGGAGGAAACTCATAAAAAACTGGTGTTTTTATTGAAAAATGAATTTTTTTTATTTTATCCAATAAATAAATTTGTTTATGGAAAAATGGGTACTCTGTTCTTATAATGGAGGAAAGTCATCAAGAGTTGGTCTTTTATGGAAAAATATGACTTTTGTGAAAGTGACCGCGATTTGGTTTATAAAATTATTAAAAAAAATTATAATGAATTTGTTTATTTTGAAAGTTGTATAACGGTCGTTAAACTTCAAATATCCCTTCCTTAAACTTCAAAATTAAAAAAAAAAAAAAGAAACTGGGCAGGGCACTCAAAATCTTCTCAGCGAATTTTCGTCTTGGAGAAGCTTGAAATACACAAAGTGAAATTCAATAAGGCACTTCACATTTAAAATGACATTACTTGTTTTTGTATATAAAAATGACATTAATTGTTTTGTATATAAGAAGGCATTTTCTTTTAGACACGTTAACAATTATGATATACCCAACACTTTTATAGGTTATACAAACGTCATAAAAAGAAAATTAAGATCTAAATTGTGGAACTGATTATAAATTAATTACTGTTGAAAGTATACTTAAACTATTAATCTAATCTAGGACGAACACACAAAAAAATGAAAAAGCAATGTGCAAAAAAAAGGAAGTCCAAGAATTGAACTTATTTCAAAAATAATGAACCAAATAAAGAATCAATTTTAGGAAAGCTCTATAATCTCGCCTTACATTACTTTCAACTTTTTCTCTATATGATTTCTTGATTCTTAACCCCAAAGTCTTTTTCTCCCATCAAGAATGCTTCAGAAATTATATGATCAATGTTCACTTGCATATTGTGACTGCTATTCATCAGCGATTGAGTGGGTTTCAACTTCATGAGCTAGGAAAGAACATCTTCCCGAGCTTCTAATATACCATTTTCACATTGTACCATTACCATCATTCAACCAATGTTCAAGCAGAAACATCTATCTAAGCAAATAGAACAAAATATGTTCAGAGAAAGTCACTAACTGCATGGAATACAAAAAATGTACGTACATAACATCATGATCCATAAATACATATAAAAAGAGTAAGGTATATACAAACTGAAATGGCAACAACCTAGCTATTACAGAATTTCTGTGCTTGAGTCCACTAAAACTATAACTACATAATACACATTAACTAAAAAACATCCAATGAAACTGCACTCATAATCAAACGACATGAATGCCTAACACAGGACAACAGATTCCTTCCTCTTTACTGTTTAGTCACATGAGCACTCAGTTCAGCATTCTGCAGCAAAAAATCAGAAACATAATCATAAAATAAAATGCATAAGCATAAATAACCAATGAATTCCTAGTCTGTACACACACTATTTATTCAGTCAAAAGCATTCAAAATCATTCAAGAAGAATAAGTGTAATCATTCAGAGTCTGTAATCATTTAGCAAGATTTTGATGTGCTAAAAAGAATCTATTTGACTGACATATATATATTGTCAAGTAATCATTCAAAACTAGAGTTCGTATAGAACTATATATATTATTGTCAAGTGAAGAATCGCCTTAAGTCGTCCTTTGTCCGCATCTTCACGCATTTCATCTAATACGCTATACTTAATCGATCGAAACATTAGGACTTTTTTTTTTTTTTTTTTTTTAAGCAGAGCCTTATCTTTAGTTTTTGTTCAGGCTTCCAACACCAACACCTTTGGAGAAAAACTTGTTCAAGAATCAACAGAAGTAAACTCCATTCCATTGTTTTTCTCAAGTAATGCAAAACAAAGTTAGATAATCTTTGTTAGACTTGTAAAATAACTCAAAGTAATCATGATTTGTTTAGTTTGTAAATTATAGAAAGACTTTATTAGACTACTTTCTGTTTTAGGCAGACAATATCAGATCTCTATTTTGATACTATGTAATAGCGTTAAAATATAATCCATTGGATAAAAAAATAAAAAAAAGTCACTCATCAAGCTATTCCTCCCGCACGTTCACTCCAGTGCTATTAGACTAGACCATCTGAACATATGTTGCAACGGAATACTAGAATCGAAAAAGCACTACCCTGTTTTCATCATTTGAACTTACTAATACTGCAAATTCAGGCCCAACACCGAGCACAAAACAGTAGCAGAATATATTAGGAGTATTTGCCTCTTTTAACGTAGTGGCTTTACGAGTTTAGCGGGGCGAGTGACGGAGAGGCTTCCTGGACTCGAGGAGCCAACCGCACGTACGTCTTTTTCAAGGAATCTTCTTTTTTCTAAATCCATTCCGCAAGTCAAGATCGAAAAAGCACGGCGGTGGTGTGGCGGCTGCATGCAGTGGAGGCGGTCTAGGCATACCCCAGGGTCCTTCGGTTGGTCTGCTGGATTTGTTTAATTCACTATTTATTTTTATATTCCTATCCTTTGAAATTTGGTATCTGTAAATTCAAAACTTTTTTTTCGACAAATACAAGTGCTGGGGACTTCGGCTGTCGTGGATTTGACTTTACTCAGCATTTAAAGTATTAGGTAAGTACTAAGTAGTTTGCTTTTGAGGTGAATCGCCGTACGTTGATCGGTGACCATCTGCTTGTTTTGGCACCTTCGACAAATATAAGTGCTGGGGACTCCGGCGGTGGATGGCTGTCGTGGATTTGTCTTGACTCCGCATTTAATGTACAAGGTAAATAGTTTACATTTGAGGTGAATCGCCATACGTTGACCGGTGACCATCTGTTTTTTTTGTGGCAGGAACTAATGGATATACTGACCTAACTAAATTAAGAAAGTGTTATAACACAATTCTTAAATTTTTTTCGTTGCATGTGAGATTTCAAACCTCACTTACAGTCCAAAGAGGGATTTAAGATGGCCACTGAGCCATTGGCCGAGTGGTTAGACCAGTTACTATCTGTTTGTTTTGCTACTTTCTTTAGAACTTTGATAGTCAAGTGCCAATTTGTCATTCTCTACTTTTATAGTGCAGGGCCCTGGAAGTTTCTGCCCTAAATTATGCTTGTGTCTAAATTCTATCATTCAAAAAAGAAAAGAAAAGAAATAAAGCACTCGCGTTTAAATCCCAATTATTAAACAAAAAAAAAATAAAACTAATACTCGTTTAAATAATTCTCACCCAAGCACTTCACAGTTCACAGGCAGAGCACTCAAAAATCAAAATCTTCCCCGGGGCCCCATGAGACCCTATTTTTTTTCTTTTACAACTTTTTTCGGCCGATGCTCCCCTGGACTGGCGTCTCAATCAGTAAGGGGCCACAAAATAGAGTGGGGTTAGATGCTATTGAGCCTAAGATTTTGGGCCGGCCCATTTCATTTTCATGAGTATCCTATTAATCAACAGTAACTAAACATGCAATATCCCCCGAGTGACTGGCACTTTCATGCAACAGAGAATTCGAAACAAAACCCCAAGCTCGCTCTTTTACTGCATCAAAATTTCAGCTTCAGATAAGGACCCATGTAGCTTGCTCGAATCATTTATTCATTTTCTCCTTGTTATTGTTTTCTTCCTGAAATTTTGACGAAATTGTGTATTGAATTTGGAGAATTTGGGTAGGAAAGGTTGCTGCAGTGACCATTCCTAAAAGGTTAAGAAATAAGATCGATCTAAAAAAGAAAAATATAAGATTCAAATCACGTTATATATAATGTTTTCGACGTCATGTATGGGACATCTAATATTTTGTTTTATGATAGAAGGCCTTGATTTAAATCACACCAGTGTCCAGATTTGTACATGCAGTGCATTATTGCTTTTCCATTAATTATGCAAATAGAAGTTGGTGTGCCCATGTTTAGGATTATAAATTATAATCTTTTTCACGTGTATATAACCTGTATGGAACTTTTGAGCATTGTTCATAAATGTAAAAGTTAGGTGACTATATTTGGTTTGTGGAGTTGACAAGAGTCACCTGAAAAATCTAAAACAGTTCGTCAGTACAAAGTCTATCATGGTTAGCAATTCTAGTTATTCCTATCCACATCCTTTCTTATTTTGTTGCATGCACTGCAATAAATCCAAACATCAGGTGCAGAATTGTAAAGCTCTATGTATTGACACTCCAATTCTATGTTCTCTATTTTTTAAAAAAATGTTTCAGTGCCATCAATCCAATAATAGGCTTTAGACTCTGAACAGGAAAGATGCATCATCTTCTATATAATTATAAATTCAATCGCACCATGATGCCCACTTTCCAAGAATGGAACAGTGTAAACATAGTAATCATAAAACATCCCTTGAAGTGAACCGGAATGATACGTAACCACATCCTTTCTTTTTCCCACTGGATTTGTTTAGAAAAATCCGGAATGATACGTGACCACACAAACTCTAAATTGATGCATGGGACCACAAACCAATAATTCGAAAGAAACCGACAAACACCTTATCCTATTAACCAAGAACCAGGCCTGGATTACTACTGTATTAATAATAGTATTGATTTTTTCTTGGATGCTATTCTCTTGGTTTTCAATTCTTAGTGGCAATTTGATGGTTTTGTTGACCATTCCATTCCAGGTCTGCCCAATATGTGCAGCAACTAAGAAAAGATGCAATTGGGCATTTCATAAATGCAGCATGCTCAATCTTTGAAGGTATATCTAGAATTCTGGAGTGTTGCCTCAGCAACAATAGCAAGGACTGCAGGAATTACCACCATTTCTTGGTGCAGATATTCATGAAACCTGCTCCAGATCCACTTGATCAACATTTCTTTGTTCAACACCTTTTTCAGATCCTAAAGACCACACAAAAGATGCATCTTCTAGTTATGCTATCTCAACTGCTAAGGAGATAGGTAAGTCTGACCTACTACAATATGGATGTATGAACTTTATTTTGGATTTCATCTCATGTGAAGAGGTCTAAATCTCATACTACTAATGTTAGTTGGCTAATTTTGAACTGTATGAGCCACATGAGATGAGATCTTATTACCATAGCATCCGCTGTTTGGAATTTGCTGGTTTGCTCTATTCTTACAGAATATTAGTAATAGGCTGACAAATGCAACTTGCTTGGAAAAAACTAATAACCAGGTGGTGGTTTCATATTGCTGACTTAGTCTGCATAATATATATCATATATCCCTGAATCTTTGGATATTATGAGGCCTAAAATGCTAAGCAAACTGAGACTTTACTAAGTTTACTTATAGTGTTCTGTAACAAGACATGGAGGGCAAAACCAAGAAGTTAGCACCTATATAGGACTAGGCGTGGAAAAGGCGGAATTTCAGTTTGCAGTTAATAGCTTGTCTGAGCAGATTATGGCTAGCAGAAACATACATTTGACGCTATACTGTCAATTTCCAGTAGATATGATGGTCAATTAACCGAAGAGATAAAGGTCATGACTGCATGGTCACACGATGATCTCCATGTATGCTTTGGCTTGACCTAAATTAGTGCCTAAATTTTCTATTCCATTTATATCAATAGCAAATGTATATGTTTTGAGAAACACGAAAGGTTGATCTAAATATGAAGTTTTAGATTGGATAACAATGCTTTGACACATTTAGTCGAAATTATATGGTTAATAAAAATGTTAAGGAAACATAAGGGATGAGAGCATGTATGGGAAGTGGAATTGATGAAGTCAATATTTTCAATTTAGGGAAGTTTTCCTCAGGTTGAAACTTAAGAACATGGGAGCAATCAGCCTCAGCATGCTTTGCTATTCCAGAAAATATTCCCAAGAATCATATGTACATGTCAGTATTTTGCTCAGAATGCAATTCTATAAGTTGCAACTCTTCTGCCTTTTATTTTTTGGTAATTAATCTATTTGGTTAGTCATTTTGATAGAATGGGGTCGTATTATTTTTTGATTGATGATAAATTCAAACAGTTGAATTTATAGTTTTCAAGCATCATATTCAGGATGTTTAATATAATAGGATCTAAGAACATGGGATGCTCTCTAGTTCTCCTAGTTTGTTTATAAATTTTCTGTTTGGAGATGGAGAAAATGGAGATGATAGTTGATGAGCATTTAATTTTAACAGCTTGCTAAAACAGCAAAAAGAGTAAATATCATACAGCAGGATCTTATTTTGATAAGAGAAGATCTCCGCATAAATCTATTCCTAGACTTCTTGATTTTTAAGCCAAATTGCAGTTAATTAAAAACAGATGAAGCTGAAGAGGCTATTTGAACTGCGAGAAGTTTACTAACTTTGGGATAAATCTAATCAAATTAACTTCATTAATTTGAAGCCCACAGTACACTTAAGGAATGTCTATAAGAAGATCAATTGTGAGTTAAAACACATGGCAAAGAAGAGTTCTAAGTAGTACTAGTTGAATCCTGTTCATCTTGTACACTACAACTTCGTTTTTTCATTAAAATTTGTTCTTCTTCTGTTCCTTATATAATTGGGATAAGGTGGAGCAGGTGCTTTAATTTCGATTCAAGAAGTCTTGAGATATTCTACAGATTGAAGCCGAATCATTTTACTATTAATGCTCGATTTTCTTGTCTGATTTTCGTGGAATCTTATGAATACCTCTTCTTACTGATCACCCTGTCTCACCCCTACACTCCAATCCCTCCACGGCAACCCAAAATAGGAAAAAAAAATCCAAGTAAAACTGGTCAGCTAAAGCTGGAACATATGGAAATGGTAGAAGGCGCTTGTTGTCAATGAAACTTTAGTAACCAGCAACACTATGAGAAAGAAAGTCACTGGAACATTTAAATATGACAGAGTGAACTGGAATGAAGGACAGCTAATGATGCTTATCAAATTGAAGCTGGTGTTGGTGGTGATTCTGATGGGTTGAGGAGAAGGACTGGTGGTGGTGGTGGATCGTGGATGGTGAGGGCTGCAGATGGTGGGGGTGGTGATGATGATGGTGGAGAATATACAGGAAGTGGTATGGTTGAAATGTTTCCGATTTAGGGAAGTGTTAGTGAGATTGAAACTTATGAACGCATGAGGAACCATCCTGAGCATGCTTTGCTATTCCAGAAAATATTCCTCTCAAAAAAAATTTTGTTGGTCTGCCCAGTTACAGGTTCACAATCCCTTAACGCGTATAAGTCAGTACGCTGCTCAGAATTCATTTCTACAGGGTGCAAGTCTTCTGCATAATCTTCTCTGTTTTTGTTGTTGGTATTTTATACTTAGTATTTAGTTCTTTTGACAAAAGGGAGATGCATAATCTTTTGATCGATAAGTAACTTAAGCCCTTGCATTCATAGTTTTCAAGAATGGCTATGAGGATCTTTAATCTCATAGTAGTTTAGAAATTTAGATGCTCTCTAGTTCTACTAGCTTCTGTTTTAAATTTTTTGCTTGGAGAAGTTTGAAAAAAAAAAAAAAAGGATATGATAGTTGATGAGCATCTAAATGGAACAGCTCGAGAAAACAGCAAAGAGTAAATGTCATATAGAAGTGTCTTATTTTGATCATAAAATCTCCACATAAATCTCTTCCTAGACTTCTTGATTTGAAACCAAAGTGCTGTTACTAAAACTCAGATGAAGCTGGAAAAAATTTGAACTGCTGGGACCAATTTTTGATTAACAAGTAATAACATTAATTAGCTTGTTAGTAAGTTGAAGCCCACAATATACTTGCATAAATGAACACCTGTCAGTAGATCAAATGTGAGTTATCACATGTTGCTGGAGGGTAGTTTTGCATGGAAAGTCGAATAAAAACAAGAGCAAAGTGATTGCTTCTGAGAAGAAGAATTCTAGATAGTATTTCCTGAATCTTTGGTCCTCTGTAACTTCTTGTTTTCATTAAATTCGCTGTTCTTTTTATTCTTGACGTAATGGGGATAAGGTGGAGCAACTTCCGAATTCCAACACTAAAAGCCATACGATATTCCTCAGATTGTTAATAATGCTCGAGTTTCTTGTCTGACTTCCAGTGGATATTACAGAGTACGTTCACCACAGAATTGAGGGGAAGGTTACTGCTTATCTCAATTGATTAGATGAAAAGGAATTATATGCAGGTGCAAGATAGAGAAGGGAAAGTTGTAAACTGGTTGGTGTTCTGTTTTGATGCTTGATGGGAAAGTCGAGGAAGGAATTGAGGGGAAGAATATATTAAAATGAGCCTCCCTTCCATGTTTTCCAAACCAAGATCAACACCAAATTCTAGTTACATCAAAACTTCTACAAGAAAAGATAGACGATGAAGGATCCTCAGATCGTGCTGGGTCGAGTGTTTTACAAGGTAATTCAGCATGCTTTAATTAAGTTTCAATTTTCTTGTCTGGTTTAAATGCCTTTGAGCCTACTTGATTTAGATGAAAAGTTGCATAGAACAACTTTTATAGGTTTCGACCAACGTTGTTTTGGTGACTAAAACATCCTGGGCTAAATTGGAGCTTGCAAGGGGTTTTGGTGTAATCCTCTTAATTAGTGTGTTAACTCGATAGCTTACTTTTCGGATATATCTTTCCAACACAACTATTAGTATGGAAATCCTTTTACACTATTCGGATGTCTGAATGAATGATAAATAATTTTTTACTCATTCGTTACTCAAAAAAGGTAGGACAATTCAAAAACACATACATGGGGATTCGATGCTTGCCTGCGACATCATCCGCCCATTTTGTAGGCTTGGAAGAGAGAGGGGGCGGCCGGGGGATGTGGGTACCGTCAGAATAGATGATACATTCTGGCAACCTCCGCCGAATTAATTGCAGCCCGGTAGTTACTACTACTTCATTGTAATCAGCGTGTTGCATTTTGGGGTGGCATTGCATTGTATGTCTGCGTGCCAGTTGATTTAATAATATCGTAACTTTTTTGTTGTTTGCTCTGGTGGCAGAGCATGTCATGTCAGTGCAAATTTTTCTTCAATCCAATCTGTCATGTCTGAAGTTAATCAAGAATGAATGTGCAATTTAAAGATTTTACTCGTCTGAAAGATTAGAGTTCCATTGTGTGCGACCTTGACTTTCAAGATAGGGTGACAAAATTCTGATCAATTTTCTTCTTGCAGCGACAGACCATCTTTTTCAGATGCAGTTCAGGAGCAAAATTATGAGGAGAGAACGCAGCGAGCTGCTTTCTTTCAGGAAGTCATCATGTCAACTATTTTCTAGGCTGGTCTGTTCTCTATGTAATACAACACAATTTGGATATCAGGTTACTCTTAATGGTGGAAGATACTACAGTTTGCCTTGATGTCAGTCAATTAGGCTTGGTTACATATTGGCATTGTATGTTTGTAATGAATCGACTTATAAGCAATCATGATACCAGATAATGCATCAGTATTCTTTTATCTGCGAGGAGGAGCCATTTTGCTTTCTTACTTGTACTCTTGAGCAAGCATTATGGCAGCACTGCATCATCGGTTATCACAGGGTATTAATGGCACTTTCATGCTATTGAACTATTATGTATTATCTTGAAGCTCTAATGTACAGGAGATATTAGAAGGATAAAAGCTAGCATATCAGTGCTTTCCTGTGCTTAATTACTTCATCAGAAGCTCTATGATAGAAGGCCTAGATTTAAATTATACCTGGGTTCAGATTTGTACATCCAGTGCATTCTTGCCCTACACAAGATTTGTGGAATTTCAACTTCAATGTTGAATTCGAGTTTTCTTGAAGAGATCTCTTTATTTTTTCAAGAGAATAAAGTCAATCATGGCTTTTCTTTTCTTATTTTTTTTTTATAAAAAAAAGTTGAATCATCGTTAACAATTCTAGTTTTTCCTAATTTATTGTCCACATCCTTTCTTCTGTCGTTGCATGCACTGCAATAAAACCAATCATCAGTTGCAGAAAATCTAGTTATTGACACTCGAATTTTCTGCTCTCTTCTTTTTCTCCTTTTTTGTGAAATAAATAATTCAGTGCCATCAATCCAATAAATAATAGGCTTCACACTCTTCAGAACAGGAAAAGATGCACTTATATATAACCAGAAATTCCAATTATAGCATGATGTTCACATTCCAAGAATGGAACATCACGAACATGGAAATCATAAAACATCCTTGATCAGGTGAATTATGCTACTGGACTAGTCGGCAAATGAACTACGTGACTTGCATATTTCCGACAACATCTTGTCTTGACTTACACGCTTTCGTAAAACACACACACAAATGAAAAGACAAAGCGAAAAAACATGAGCTTAACTTTTGGCGTCATCATATCAGCGAAGAAGTTCGAGCATTTCAGAGAATAACAAAGTAGTACGTCCTGAAAAATATGTATATAAAAAGTAGTACGTCATCATATCAGCCAGGTAGATATGTATATAAAAAAACAAGTTCAAATATGCTGAAAAATGCCAAAAAGAAAAAGAAAAAGTTAATAAACAAATACCTGAGCAGGAGATTCAACGATTAGCAAAGATGATTGCGAGGATTGCAACGAAGTAGAGTGCGATGGATATCCCAGTGAGCGGAGCCGCAAAAGTCACTCCAATGGCCAGCATGAATGCAGTGGCGCCCAAGAAAATTGCAACATGTGCCATGACAAGAGATGCCGTCTCGTAACGGCGGCGGATGTAAACGGAGACCAACAAAGCAAGAACGGCCAGCTGCAGAAGCATGCAAAACCAGTGAAAGGTTGGAGGGAGAGGTGCAGGAGTTTGGAGAGCTTGCAAGGCGGCGCTAAAGGCTGCAATACAAACTCCGATGACCAGCAACGCCCATTGCATCTTCATCACATAGTCAACGAAGTTGGGGTTCTGATCAGCGCCATTATTAGGTTGCCGGAAGGTAGGCAGGGACGGCTGCTCCGCAAGTTGAGATGCTGCACCAGGTTGGAGTTGGAGTTGCACGGTTGGCGACTGTTGGGCGGCCCCGTTTCGAGACTCCCACCATTTCCATGCGGGGAAGCCCTGACCCTGAGCGAAATTCTTCAAGGTCAAGAAGAAGTTGATAGCTGCAAGCCTGAGTTCTCCCAACATTTCTGGGACGGGTAATTCTCCGGTAAGAAAAATTCTCAATGGGTTAGACACCTCGGTTGTGTTGGGCTGGGCCTTTATTTATATCGTCGCACAAGCATTTACATACTAAGAATCTCACCTTGTAGGTGCGTCCCCAGGGGCCAGGGAAAGGGTAATTATTACCCCAAAAAAAAAAAAACCGGATAAGGTGGTGGCCCGGTGGGCGCCACAGACACTAGGACTGGAAAAAATTACACGCCACTGCCATGCCATGCCAATTGCCTTCAGGCACCTGTAACTGTAAGTGTCAATCTATAAAACAAAACATGTAGCCAGGCAGCCATGCATGTAAATTATAGAATATCCAATGACAAAACACTCCTGTGAATGTGAATGCCAATTTTGGAGCCCCGCTCTTCTAATTCTACCACATTACTATTTAGCTAATCTTCTGACAATACGCAGGACCCATGCGAACACCACCTTTACTTGACAATGACTGGTGAAGAAAGCGGACGACGGTGTTCGTATGAGTGCGGATCGTCTTGACTTTCTGCACCAGGTCATTATCAAGTGAATGCCAATTTTGGAAACCCAACCTTCTAATATTCTACCACAGCACTACTTAGCTAATCTTCCCAAACAGGGGCGGAGCCAGAAAAAAATTTTAGTGGAGACAAAAATAATATTAAAATTTTTTATCTACTCTTTTTCTAATTTTTTAAGCAAAAAAAAAAAAGTTTCATGCATAAAATCACCATTTCACAAGTTAAAATATTTATCAAATAACCCATTGATTAGTCATTACATTAACTAATCAATTTTTAAATTTCTTTAAAACAGTAATAGTCTCATACTCTAGAAATATATTTGCAATCAAATTTAAAATAATAATAATAATAAGTAATTGTTTAGAACCTGATTTTGATGGTCTCCTAAAGTTGGTGAAAAGAGCTGCAAAATGTGGCGGACCCAAGTCCTAGAAGATCAATTGATGAGAGAAGGGAAATTGGGGAGTGGGGACAAAGGAAGTAAATGATAATTGGATGAAGTGATAAAAAGAAAAGGTAGTTGGCTTGAGTGTGGAAGAAAAGGAGCCGATTATGAAGGGAAATGGGGGACCACAGGAGTAAAGGGAACTTGGGGAGGGGAGACAAAAAGGAATGACTGATATAATTGGTACTTGGCCCTATTGGTGGAAAAATGGGAACTAGAGGAGGAAAGTGAATGATATAAATTTTGTGACCCATTCTTTCATATTTTTTCTAAAAAAAATTATGGAGGCACCTTTAAAATTATGTCAAAATTGTAGATGTATTATAGGAATTTAAGGGCCAGTGCCCCCACTTTAAATCCGCCCCTGTTCCCAAAATACGCAGGACCCATGCAAGCACCAGCTTCACTTCACAATGAGCTGGAGCTCCACTTTCTTCACCAGGTCATTGTGATAGTGTGCGTATATATTATTGTCAAGTGAAGAACCGCCTTTAAATCGGTACTTTGTCCACATCTTCACTCATTTCAACATGAGGACCTTACCTTCTTTATTTTTATTCTTTTTAGCAGAGCCTTATCTTTAGTTTTTGGAGAAGGACTTGTTCAAGAATCAACAGAAGCAAACTCCATTACATTGTTTTTCTCAAGTAACGCAAAAAGTTAGATAATCTTTGTTAGACTTGAAAAATTTAACTCAAAGTAATCGTGATTTGTTTAGTTTGTAAATTAAAGAAAGACTTTATTAGACTACTTTCTGTTTTAGGCAGACAATCTCAGATCTCTATTTTGATAGTATATAATAGTGTTCAAATATAATCCATTGGATATAAAAATAAGAAAATTTTATTCTAAACGGCATACGACTTGTATAACAAATACAAATTAGCTCATGGTTACCGTCATTTTCAAAGTCATTTTCTATATATAAGTGAACTCCCAAAAATATAGGTAAGAGAAAAAAAGTTTGAACCCAAGTCAGGTTGTACCTAGGGGTGTATTCGAGCCGAGTCGAGCTCGAGTACCGCTATACTCGAGCTCTACTCGGCTATAATATAATTATACTCGAGCTCGAGCTCGATCGAGTCGGAGAATCACAGCTCGAGCTCGAGCTCGATCAAATCCTTAAAAAGCTCGAGCTCGACTCGATAAGGGTACTCACCGGTAATTTCTCAGAATTTATTTACCTATATTAGTAATTTTATATATAATTTTTTTTTAAAATTTTTTATGTGATACTCGATAGAGCTCGTCGAGCTCTCGAATATCAAATTTCTGAGCTCGAGCTCGACTCGATAGCTCTAACGAGCAGTTCGAGCTTCTGATCGAGTACATATCGAGCTCGAGTCGAGTAACTTGAATCAGCTCCACCCCTAGTTGTACCTTGCTCTATGTACACATAAATATCATAATGCACTGCTTTGGTTTAGTCGTGAGGTTTGACTACAATTAAAAAAAAATGAAGAAAGCATCAAAAAAATGAATTTTTAGTTTGGCTTTACAATTCATTTAAATTAATCATGTCGGGAAGTTACTGGTCCTTGTTATCTATGGAACCAATTGCATCATGCTCAGCATAAAATATCTCATACAGTAGTATTTGGTGCTATTTCATGTTTGACTATTTAAAGTTTTTTGTTTTAGGGTATTTTCGCCTCTAATGACTGTCACTAGAACATTTACCCCTGAGACCATTAGACACACGATTTCTCTAGCTACGAGGAAGTCACCTATACTTATGATCAACCAAACTAATGTGTGTTGGCATTTGGCATTTTAAAGTATTTATGCTGTTGTTAAAGTTCTAGTATTAGGTCAAGTACAAGATACGTCATACGTAGTTAAAGTCCTAGCTAGGTATGTGCTCTGCCTGACCATCCTTTCACCGGGTCATTATCTTTTTTGTTACTCAGGTATACAAAGCATTCTTTCTTTACAACATAGGTATACGAACAGGTGCGATGGTCTGGCACCTTTTTTAATTTTTTGTTTTAAAATAAGCGAGAAATCTCGGATGGAAATCTCGGATGTAGTCTCGTCATCGGTCATTATCAAGTGACCTTTTTTTCAAAGGAATTTAGTCCCTTCTTTGTTATCACTTTTTTTCACCGGGGCATTATCAAGTGATTTTTTTTTTTTTTTTAAGGAATTATCAAGTGAATTGACACAATTTTGGAACCCCTCCATTCTAAGTCCACCCATTACTACTTAAGCTAATCTTCTGACAATACGCGGGACCCATGCGAACGCCACTTTCACCTGACAATGACCTGGAGATCGAAGACGAGTATAAGGTAAACAAAAAATAAGTTTCTAGCAATTAGTAGTGTTACAAGGCATATGGTAAACAAATTTTTTTAGCTAATTTATTTCAATATACAATTTATTATTCAAATTTTGCAATACAGGCAATATAAAATATTATTCTATTTATGATGTGTTTCCAAAGAACTTAGGTAGTGAGTGTGTGAAAATATATTTATGTATGTGAAAATATATTTATATGTGTGAATAAAATCTTTTTGTATGTGTAAATGTACAA